CTGGGCTGAGCTGGGCTGAGCTGGGTTGAGCTGGGTTGAGCTGGGCTGAGTGAGCTGAGCTGGGCTGAGTTAACTGGGCTGAGCTGGGCTGAGCTGGGTTGAGCTGGGTTGAGCTGGGCTGAGTGAGCTGAGCTGGGCTGAGTTAACTGGGCTGAGCTGGGCTGAGCTGGGTTGAGCTGGGTTGAGCTGGGCTGAGGAGCTTGGTTGAGCTGGGCTGAGCTGGGCTGAGCTGGGCTGAGCTGGGTTGAGCTGGGCTAAGCTGGGTTGAGCTGGGCTGAGCTGGGCTGAGCTGAGCTGAGTTAACTGGGCTGAGCTGAGCTGAGCTGAGCTGAGCTGAGCTGAGCTGAGCTGAGCTGAGCTGAGCTGAGCTGAGCTGAGCTGAGCTGAGCTGAGCTGAGCTGAGCTGAGCTGAGCTGAGCTGAGCTGAGCTGAGCTGAGCTGAGCTGAGCTGAGCTGAGCTGAGCTGAGCTGAGCTGAGCTGAGCTGAGCTGAGCTGAGCTGAGCTGAGCTGAGCTGAGCTGAGCTGAGCTGAGCTGAGCTGAGCTGAGCTGAGCTGAGCTGAGCTGAGCTGAGCTGAGCTGAGCTGAGCTGAGCTGAGCTGAGCTGAGCTGAGCTGAGCTGAGCTGAGCTGAGCTGAGCTGAGCTGAGCTGAGCTGAGCTGAGCTGAGCTGAGCTGAGCTGAGCTGAGCTGAGCTGAGCTGAGCTGAGCTGAGCTGAGCTGAGCTGAGCTGAGCTGAGCTGAGCTGAGCTGAGCTGAGCTGAGCTGAGCTGAGCTGAGCTGAGCTGAGCTGAGCTGAGCTGAGCTGAGCTGAGCTGAGCTGAGCTGAGCTGAGCTGAGCTGAGCTGAGCTGAGCTGAGCTGAGCTGAGCTGAGCTGAGCTGAGCTGAGCTGAGCTGAGCTGAGCTGAGCTGAGCTGAGCTGAGCTGAGCTGAGCTGAGCTGAGCTGAGCTGAGCTGAGCTGAGCTGAGCTGAGCTGAGCTGAGCTGAGCTGAGCTGAGCTGAGCTGAGCTGAGCTGAGCTGAGCTGAGCTGAGCTGAGCTGAGCTGAGCTGAGCTGAGCTGAGCTGAGCTGAGCTGAGCTGAGCTGGGCTGAGCTGGGTTGAGCTGGGCTGAGTGAGCTGAGCTGAGCTGAGCTAAGTGAACTGGGCTGAGCTGAGCTGAGTGAACTGGGCTGAACTGGGCTGAGCTGAGCTGAGCTGGGCTGAGCTGGGCTGGTCTGAGCTGAGCTGGGTTGAGCTGGGTTGAGCTGAGCTGAGTGAGCTGAGCTGAGTGAACTGGGCTGAGCTGAACTGAGCTGAGCTGAGCTGGGCTGAGCTGGGCTGGTCTGAGCTGAGCTGGGTTGAGCTGGGCTGAGCTGGGCTGAGCTGGGCTGAGCTGGGCTGAGCTGGGCTGAGCTGGGCTGAGCTGGGCTGAGCTGGGCTGAGCTGGGCTGAGCTGGGCTGAGCTGGGCTGAGCTGGGCTGAGCTGGGCTGAGCTGGGCTGAGCTGGGCTGAGCTGGGCTGAGCTGGGCTGAGCTGGGCTGAGCTGGGCTGAGCTGGGCTGAGCTGGGCTGAGCTGGGCTGAGCTGGGCTGAGCTGGGCTGAGCTGGGCTGAGCTGGGCTGAGCTGGGCTGAGCTGGGCTGAGCTGGGCTGAGCTGGGCTGAGCTGGGCTGAGCTGGGCTGAGCTGGGCTGAGCTGGGCTGAGCTGGGCTGAGCTGGGCTGAGCTGGGCTGAGCTGGGCTGAGCTGGGCTGAGCTGGGCTGAGCTGGGCTGAGCTGGGCTGAGCTGGGCTGAGCTGGGCTGAGCTGGGCTGAGCTGGGCTGAGCTGGGCTGAGCTGGGCTGAGCTGGGCTGAGCTGGGCTGAGCTGGGCTGAGCTGGGCTGAGCTGGGCTGAGCTGGGCTGAGCTGGGCTGAGCTGGGCTGAGCTGGGCTGAGCTGGGCTGAGCTGGGCTGAGCTGGGCTGAGCTGGGCTGAGCTGGGCTGAGCTGGGCTGAGCTGAGCTGAGTGAACTGGGCTGAGCGGGGCTGAGAGGGACTGAGCTGAGCCGGCTACCAGGGGCGAATGGGAGGAGGTGGGTTCAGTATGGATCATGTCCAGAGCCAGTTCCCCACCCGGGCTGCCCCCTGTGTTTCTCAGGGCACATGAGGGCCATGGGATCAGAGGTCCCTGTGCCCTCTCTTCTCCCACCACGTCCCTGCAGGAATCGGGAACAGACCAGTGGTGTCCTGTGTGCCCAGCCTGTCTGGGTGGGACACCTCACAGGGCTGGTTTGGTCGAGTCTCTAGTCTCCAGAGCTTCGTAGGCCCTGCGGTGGGCCTCTGCTTGCTGGGGCTGCGGTGGTTTGCAGAGGAGACTGCTTAGACTGGACTCTGACCAGGGAAGTCTGAGTGGCCCACGGAGGCCCAGGCCCCTCTCTTCTGCACGTTCCCTCCAGCACAGCAAGGCTGGCCCTTGGGCAGGCCAGCTGCAGGGCCAGTCCCCTCGGTGCTCACCTGTGTCCCCCTCAGGGCTCACCTTTCATGACCCCCAAACTCTGGGAGAGACATGGCCACGCCCACTGCACAGAGGTAGCTGAGGCCCCAGCGGTGCCCACACACTCAGCTGGTCCATGGAGAGCCGTGTGGATGACGTGGCTCCATCTGCACGTGGCCTGTGTAAGGAGCGTGTCCCGGTCCACGTGCCGGAGCTCTGAGCAGCGTGTCCAGAAACAATTTGGCTGAACTCAGCGGCCAGTCCCAACCCCGGTGACTGGCCTTTGGGCTGAGTGACCTGGGGCAGTCACTCGCCCTCTCTGTGCCTGTTTGCCCAGGGCAGAGGGGCGGTGGGCATCGTCCCATCTGCGTGGGGCTGTCAGGGGTCTCACAGCGTGTCCTGTGTTGCAGCGAGCCCCACCAGCCCCACGCTCTTCCCACTGAGCCTCAGTAGCACCGACTCAGCTGGTCACGTGGTCATCGGCTGCCTGGTCCAGGACTTCTTCCCATCGGCGCCCGTGAACGTGACCTGGGGCAGCAGCGGGCCGGGCACCTCCATCCGGAACTTTCTCCCCGCCCCCACCTCCCGGGGCCTGTACACCATGGTCAGCCAGCTGACCCTGCCGGCCGACCAGTGCCCAGATGGCGCGACCCAGAGTTGCCACGTGCAGCACAACTCCAGCCCCAGCAAGACCAAGAACGTGCCCTGCAAAGGTCAGAGGTCGGGCCAGGGCAGGGTGGGGGCACCACCACACCCACCGGGGCTCCCCTCAGACAGCAGTGGGCTCAGGCAGAGCCCCCGCAGAGGGCGGGCGAGGGCGGGGCTGGAGCAGGATGTGGGACGGGGATGTGGGGCCAGGGGCACTGAGGGCTCTGCCTCCCTCTCAGTTAAGACACCCACATGCCCGAACTGCCAGCCCCGCCTGACCCTGAGCCCGCCAGCCCTCGAGGACCTGCTCCTGGGCTCCAACGCCAACCTCACGTGCACGCTGAGTGGCCTGAAGAAGCCCGAGGGCGCCAGCTTCAGCTGGAACCCCACGGGCGGGAAGGATGCCATCCAGGAGGCCGCGCAGCCTGATGCCTGCGGCTGCTACAGCGTGTCCAG